CCTGACAGACGTGAAATTGATAAACAGAGAGGTTGGCCATGTGTCGAAACGGTCAGTATCATTGCATCTGGTCGACATTTAGGTGTTGTGAAACCATGTGCTGTCAGCATGGTATTAATTACCCTACTTGGAAACAGAAAGGCATAAAATAACACGAGTCACAGCAGGAAAATAGGGCAGCATCGTAGTAGTAGGCCGCAACGGGATATTCTGTAGCCTGACACATCTTAACCTTGTTCAGGTCACCCTCTCACCTGGCTGCCTCCCCCAGTCCCAGGTCTCAATGATAGAGTGATGCACAGATGTTGACGTCTCCTCCTCCTCTTTCTTCTCTTTGTCGTTGGGTTCATCCTTCTTCTGAGTTCCAAAGCAGTCAGTGCAATCCTCTGAAATCATCAAAAGACCTTCATTTCCATCAGCAAGATTAAAAAGCTGTCCCTGGCTCAAGACAGCCCTTAGATTGTGTTTAGAAATGCACCATGGTATGATAAACAAATGACAGCAATGTGCATTCCCTATAAAAAACATAGAGGGTAAAGAATGCTGTCCTCTCTCAGCGCCATACCTGGGTGAGCTGATTCCTCTCCATTGAATGTTATCTCCTCATCTTTTACCATTTCATTCCACATCTCACTCAGGCCCTCTGGAGAGAATGCCCGCTGCCAAAGGAAACAGAAAGCACATTTAGAGCATCAACTTTAAAATCTTTATCTGTTCCTCTGTTTGTGAGTTCTGCATGGCTATGTCACATACAGGCTATGATCACATTATGAGGTCATTATAATCTCAGCTGAAATGGATCCAGTGAACTTGGGTTAACTTGGGTTAACTTGTTTTTGTGTTATACTAAAAATATCCTCTTCTAAAATAACCATTCCATGTGTGTTATTTGTCTTTAATTCATTTTACTTTTGATTTTTTAACATTTGGCGCAAACATCAGAGAAACATCTGTTTCACTTGTGGAAAGAATTCTTCTTCATAGTTAAGAAACGTTACATCGTTAAGCTAAGAAAAGAAACCACGACAAACTCATGTCAAATACAAGTACAGAATGAGAACAGAAAATGGCGGCTTTACTTCCAACTAATTTGAGGATACACCTGCTGTCAAATCTGTGTCATCGCCCCAGTGGTACACCATTCATGCTTTGCTTCAGTAAGAAACACTCACTCAAGTGGAGAGCCAACTCAAGGATCTAATGTCTTCAGTGTCAAAAACATGTTAGCTCACAGATGACACCAAACCAGACACATAACACTAAAGCTGCCTTCAGCACTGGGGAGAGCTATAACGATGGGAAAACATGACACCCTTCCCCAATTTTAGTTCTCATTTGGTAGCGCAAACCAATTTTCAAGTTCAGGTTGAGTCCAGACAGGCTGCAATTTGTGGAGGTGAGAGCAACCAGCTGTTTTGTAGCACAGTGGATCCAGGGTGTCTTCTCTCAATCTGTCACATATTGATAAAAGACCTCATAATTACAACCAACATGAGTTTGTTTTCACAACATAGATCTTTCTTTTAATTACCCTTTCACCTGAACCTACAGATTATAGGCTTCACCGCTTTTCACATTACAGGAAAAACAATAATCATCTGTGCACGAGGCTTCACACAGCTTGCAGGCCAGTGGTTGCACAGATGTCCTAAGTGATCAGGTAAGTCAGCTCATTACAACTAATGCAGCCCCTATAGCTCAACGCTCAGTTTGACTCTGACCGTGTTAAAGTAGCAGACTATTGGATTTATGTTAATGTGCTATCAGTGACACAATAAGGTTCAGAGGTTTTGCAGTCAGTCCCCAACATGATGCAACAGTCAGGCTGACAACAACCTACAAATTATACGGTTTCTAAAAACTCAGCAATACAGTCATTTTAGATAGCAAAACACAGCTGGAAGTGCTGCAGCAGACACAGGTGAATGTTCTCAACATTTACTAAGGTAATTCATTCATTCAATGAGGCAAATATGAGAAATACAGTCAAACTCAGCCCCAAGTATCAGGCTGTCCTCCTACTCTGAAAAAGTATTAATTTCTATATGATTCACTCCTTCATGTACACATACCTGTAAGTCTATCTTCAGCCATTTGTCATGAAATCTCAGCTGAGCATCGAGGGTAAAAGATGTAGAAGGCATCTTCCCCTCTCCTCTCCTGGCTGCAAACGCAGCCAACCTGCAACATAAAGAGATGAAAGGCTGCGTTATAAGACAAATTAAACACTCAGGGTTAGAGGAGAATCAGCGTTATAATGTGCCTTTTAATGAATGAGGGTAAAGCTTTGTGCCTAACACGGGCACACACCTTACCGGGCCTGTCTCCTTTGTGTTGTCAAGGCCAGAGACAATTTACCTTTTACAAGCACGCTGATTGGACTCGGTATGATGCAAGTAAGACTGATCACTATGCCAGTTCAACCAGATTATTGATTATTGACTGATGCATTTGTTGCTTTGATTATACTGCATGAAATCATGAGTTGAATGGAGGCAAAAAATAGTCGACTGCATTACATTTGCCTGTCAAGAACACCAGCTCATATATTAGAGAAAATCTACCTCACTTTGACTTGGATAAAAACGCAGTTCCTCAACTCTCGGTTTAAACATTAACACTAACATTTCCTCAAATGTGTGAACTTGCACAGTCAGGATAAATCAGCATAAGCAACCATCAGCATCAAGCAAACGTAAACAGAAGGAAGCCCAACGCCGGCTGTCACCCATGATTGAATCACTCCCTTTTCAGTGACAGGTCTTATAATACACAAAGTAACATCAGACAGCAGCTAAGTTATGTCTCAATATTGCTGCTTTTATCGAGACTGGTTCAGTTTAAGTAACGTTACACAGAGTCCTTCATCACTAACTGGGTCAACCTTTTCAATTACATACGCGATTATAACTAAGATTTTCTTACTTGATCTAAAAGTACTATTGTGACATGTAAGTGTAATGTGTGCCTTGCATTAGCACCATTAACACCATTAACACCATTAACGCTAGAGTTTAAGGCCGAAGATGTAACGTTATCCACAACTGTAACGTTACATGAGACGTTGGGAGGAGAAGGACTATCTCGTAGCATTAATGCTATCAAGGGCACACTCTGTGTTAACCCTGATACAGCGGCGATTACCTGCCTACCAGAGCAGGGTGATAACAGACACTAGTCCAGCGGGTAATAACACACACTGACACAGCATCAATACGCTCACAACGCAACACCTAATGCTAGCTAACGTTCACGTTAGCTTGGCGGCTAAGGCTAACTTCTTAGCTTGCTGCACAGCTAATACCGACAGAGCGTAAGCTAGCTGACGATAACATCATCGGACAACCGTGAAGCCGCCGCGGAGCCCTGACAGCGGCACAGCGGCACAGCGGCACAGCGGGGACATGTTCGAGACTGACAACAAATGTCTCCATTACCTGCGGTGTGTTCTCGGGCTGGTCGCGTCCCCTCTGCTGCTCTGCTGCATTAACAAACCTTCATTATCGATTGATTGACAGGTCGCCGACTAGGGCACGAGGCTTGGAAACAAATTACGTAGTCGTAACTGGTAGAGTTGATGCGATTGATGTGAAACCACGACAGCCCGCCGGGGCGGGGTTTCTAATGAGAGCGGATCCGTTGGCCATAGAGTCTACTCCGCCCGCTCGTGCTGGCCAGTGTAGTAAAATGAGCGGGTTGGAGGCGGGACATAGGAGGGGCGGGGTCGGCCCAGCAGGAAGGCAAACTGTCCGCTAGGGGGCGGTGTGTCTCTAGGAAAGGGTGGGGGTATTTATTTCACAGCTGATTTATTTAGGGACAGTTATTATTTAATATAGCTTTAGATGTGTATTTAATTATAGCGTTTGTTTATTTAACTAAAACTATATATATACTTATATATATCTTCAACCAATAACTTTATACAATGACATTTTTAAACCAATATCCTACTTAAAACTAATTTAATAAAACAGTTTTGAATTGAATGTTGCATAATTTGGCTGTGTAACTTTGCTATTTGATGTGTCTGCTGCTATTTTATCTATTTGACCGACAACAACCTCAGAAATGTGGGTTCCTTGTGATTAAGTATGTACTTCTTATTTTGAGTATCTGTACAAAGGCCATGAAGTATATGTGGGATCATCTTCCTGAGTCCGCTGAATGTTCATTTTTAATGTAATGTCATGTTTTCCACAACAGGGCGAAGAGATATTCCAGAAGGAAGATTAGCAAGATAGCTGGATCTGTTAATAAATTCTATTAATATAATTTCAGTAATCCATCATTAAGGGATTATTGGATGGGACAGCACCCCAAATTGTAAGAGTTCCAGTATGCCAGGTCCTATGTGTGTGAAGAAGGTAAAATATCTTTCTGACAAACTAAACGAATGGCATTAACATTTAATTTAGGGGTAAGGAAAAAGCTATAATGACACATTCAGAAACAGTATTTATCCCCTTGGGTTTTGTGTTGAAAGTTAAGGTCTAGTTCAGTTTTGGTTCAGTAATGACACTGTATGATATGATTCTATAAAAAAAAGGCAGCTGTTGTCTCACTCCAGCAGCAGTAGTGAGAGGTCTAAGTGTAATGTTTGACAGTTAATTTCAGACTGGATCCTTCCTTTTTGCTCAAGGGGATATTTTTGTGTCCTCAGGTAGGAGGAAGACTAGTGTTTAAATGAAGAACATGATTCACAAGGCAGACAGCTCCTATTCCAGTGCAGCTCTCCTCTTCTCTCCTTTTTCTCTCCTACTTTCCAGAACCGCTGAACAAAGTAGTTCTGATGTGGTCCCTTTAGAATCGGGCCTTCAGTGCCATTTCAGTCATTATCTAGGAGGCTTGTTGTGTGAGTGTCAGATGCAACGAAAACACAAACAGACAGTCACTGCAATGTGCATGCAATGTATATAATATATGATTCAGTGCAGTGAGTAATGCCGGGATGGCGCAGCCGGGTGCTTCAGGAACCGCACATGCGCACACTGTCTCACTTCCTAAACACGGAGTTGGTTGGACGGTCAGAGCTTCAGTCAGTGTGCTGCTTAAAGCTAATGAGCAGCAGCAGTAATGGCTGTGGACTCAGAGCCAAGCGGCGGTTCGTTACCTGTAGCTGGAATAGTGATAGCAGTAGTGTCAAGTTTCATCAATGGGTCGACATTTGTGCTTCAAAAAAAGGGAATATTACGCTCCCGCGACAGAGGTAGACAGAAACAGCAGAGAAGTAGACGGACATTAGCGTTAGCTTCATGAATATATCCATGGGTAGAAGTGAGGAAGCCATGACAGTTTTATCTCTAAGTCTAAACTCTTCACTGTGTTCCACAGGAGGCTCGTACCTCACAGATGTGGTGTGGTGGTCTGGGACATTGTCCAGTGAGTATAGCGCCATCTGTCGGCTCTGGATGCACATTTCAAATAACGCAAGAAATCACACTTGGAGTTCCGTGTGCAGCTGACTTCATTTAAAACATTATTCTCAATGAATGTTTCATGTTTTGACTCATGTGTTTATGAATGTCATCAGTGGCTGTCGGTCAAATTGGGAATTTCCTGGCGTACAATGTGGCCCCTGCTGTGATAGTGACACCACTGGGAGCCCTGGGAGTGTTGTTTGGGTAAGAGTGAGGGGATTTTTTTAAATTCAGGATTTGGCTTGAAACTGTGATCTGGTTTGGCCAGCTTTCAAACACCATACGGTGAATACTTTTTATTTTTAATTATTTTAGGAGATTTGTCCTTATATCTGAATTTTCACAGACAGTATCTGATCAGGCCGGTTTACTACCTCAGGCAAAGTAAAGTTGTGGTTAATTATTCATCCTTTTAACTGGCAAATTTTAATATGGAAATGGTTTGCTTTTAATACAATTTCAATGTGTATAAATGATTTTGGTCCTATGACATTCAGCGATCATGAACTGCTTTAATCTACACTGTATTATTTCACATCTGCCAAGCACACGAGTGCAGAGTCAACATTTAAAACTAGTTCAGGACTCTTTGAGTTGCCTTGCGTATCTTTGCAACAAGATGGTGTTTTTGTGCGATGCAGGGCTGTGCTGGCCTCTTGGATCTTGAAGGAGAATTTAAATATCCTGGGAAAGCTTGGCTGTGTGTTATGTTGCTGTGGCTCCGTTGTGCTCATCATTCATGCCCCTAAAGCAGAGGCTGTAACGTCGAGACTGGAGTTAGAGGAGAGGCTATTTGACCCAGGTGATACAAATGATAAATGTGTATTCCAGAATCATTGAAGATAAATATACTATATTAGGTAATATAAATGACAATATCATTTTTCATCCTGCAGTGTTTGTGCTTTATGCCCTCTTGGTGGTCCTGCTGCTGGTCGTACTAATCGTGTGGATTGCTCCAGCTCACGGCTCATCAAACATCATGGTGTACGTTGCCATATGTTCCCTCTTGGGAAGCTTCACCGTTCCGAGCAGCAAAGGACTTGGTCTCGCTGCACAGGACGTCTTTGGAGAAGGGCCCCCGAGCAGCAGAGCTGTGGCTCTCTTCCTGGGCTTGCTGGGCACGTTGGCCGTCAGCATCCTGATACAGTTTGTCTTCATCAACAAGGCCTTGGAGTGTTTCAGCTCCAACACCTTCGAAGCCATATACTATGTGACCTTCACGTCCACTGTAATTCTTGCTTCTGCTCTTCTCTTCAAGGAGTGGACTGCACTAACTTTAACTGACAGTCTTGGCATGCTTTGTGGTCTGGCGACAGTGTGTGTCGGAGTCGTTTTGCTCCGCATTTCCCAAGAGGCTTTGATCACTTGGAAGAAGAAGACTGATTGAGATGCCTTCGTATGACTTGTGCCAAACTGCATTTCTTATACCACTATGAGAGATTTGTCCTGTGAGTTTAAGTGACCAAAGCAACAGTATATTTATTATAACTACTTTCACCAACATTATACTTGAATCCTTGCAGTTCCTTGTGAACAGTTCTTAGTTACTATGTAATAATAATCATTCCTTTTTTAATTTTTATTAATATTCACAACTGCAACACTCATCATGTGACCGTCACTGCCCCTTTAGCAGCTTTCAAACGGCACACTCAAATATAGCTTGGGGAGCAGTTAATTTGTCAACTTCACACACTAATGTAAAGCAAACACTGGTGCTTGGTTAAACAGGAACTGAAAATAATTCAGTTTACTCTCATGTAGAGTGTTACCTTGAAGGCTTTAATGTTCTGCTATCGCTGGACTGTATCAGTGTGGAGTCGCCTACACTTTGACTTATTCAGTGTGCCTCTGAATTATTCAGTGTCATTTCAGAAGCAGTGTCTTTAGTGCCGGACTTGTGTAGAAGATGACTATCAACAATGACTGAATCTTTTAATGGAGGGATTTGGAAAGCTGATATGACAAATATGAACTTTTGCTCTGGAGCCACTAGCTGTTCTGTCATGATGTGTTGCGCCTTCATGTTATTAACAAGTAATTAAAACATAATTTGGATTATTATGGATTTTTTATGTACATTATTTAACCGTTTACACTCATTTCTGTAACAGCATGTGTCAGCTTTGGGCTGGCTTCGGTGAGTCTTTGTCATACAGAAGTGTGATTAAGATGAAGAATCTAACTAACTAAATCAAACTACTTACATATCACCTGTAAAATATTTTGGCTTTCCTCATACCAGATCTTTAATACACAGCCAGGTTTTTGGAGAAAGAAAAAAACTAACTCAGGGTATTATTTATAATAACTTTACTTATTATTATTATTATTATTATTATATTTACAATAACTCAATTAATTTAGTAAGTCGTTTGACTCACTGTTATTAAACTAATAAGTTGAATGTCCCACACATTTTGGAAATGTTTATGGTTTTGAATAAACAAGCATTTTCTAATCCCACTACGAGTCGTTTTGTGTTTTTATAATTCAAAGTGTGGACTGAGTGCAGTAAAAACCTCACGGTGACCGCGGTAATGTGTCCGTGTTGCGGTGCACTGTGCTCTGTGTGTGTGCTCTGTGTGGTACTGGACTTCAGCCTGCGGAGGGCACACAGTTCAGTGGTCACATCCCCGGTGATCAGCAGAAGAAGAGGCTCGCAGTGCGGCAGTCGTCGAGCGGTGTCGGTGCTGTCTGAGTTCACAGAGCAGTATGAGATGGTTAGCAACAGAGCCAGGAAGCAGCCTAGCGATTAGCTAACCTCCAGCTGCTACCACTTTCTTCTCGTCGGGGAGACCAGCCACCTTCGACAGGTATGTACCTCTCTGTGTGACTTCTCAAACCGAGCAAGCGACCGATACTCTGATTCTTGCTCAACGCTAACTGAGCTAGCCGACCAGTTAGCCGTCGCGCTAATGTAAGCTAACGTGGCTAACGAGGGGGGATACTAGCAATTAAATGCAGTTTAAATAACCCAAATGTAACCCCGTGGCCCCACCATAGTGCCGCTGCCCCTGGGGACAGTGTGGGTACATGTAATATTGGGGCAGGTATTTAACGGACTGTTAAGGGCGACTTTACGATATGGTTAACGAGCTGCGTGTCCTGGTTAACCTGAGTGGTGCGATACTTCCTGAATTCCTGTCTTCAAGTGAATATGTTGACAGCAGCTGGCTGACTTCAAACAAAGCTCAACACCCAAACAACCGGTTGGCTATTCAACATCATTACTTCAGTGTGTTTGTATGAGAGTGGAAGGCGGAGAAGGTAGATAGTCCTAAATGTGCTGGTACCGTGATGGATTCTTCCCACACATCAGATTATGGTTCACCCGTTTGTAGTGTCGACTGTGGAGACGGTAGGTCGTTAGAATAATGTTAAAAACCTTGTTTTATTTTATTTAATTTTGTACTTTTTCTCATTATCTGATACATGTGCTGTTGTCTTCCCCTGTGCTCTGCTCTCAGGTGTGTGGGCTGGCCAGAACTGTACTTTTGGTCAGCATCTGCATTGTTTGGTCGTAAATGTGACAGACCACACCAACACATCCAGCCTCACTATGGGTCAGGACAGAGGGAAGTATGACTTTTACATCGGTCTGGGATTGGCCATCAGCTCCAGCATCTTCATCGGAGGCAGCTTTATCCTCAAGAAGAAGGGACTTCTGAGGCTGGCGAGGAAGGGATCCATGCGGGCAGGTACTGACCTTCTCTAAGCATCTATTGTCAGTCACACAATGGAACAGATTGTCCAACTTTGGCAGCTGAGCTATGGCACTCCCTGGTCTAGTTGTGCAACACTGAAACCCAGCTAAGAAGCCAAACGAGTGGAGACAGCACATTAACACCTGATTACACCCTCCCTACATTTCAGACTTACGTTTGCTCACATGTGCAGGGTGTGTTTCTGTCTCTGTGTGAGTGTGTGTGTGAGTTAGCAGCACTCTTTTAACAACTAGTAATCATTAACTTCACCTTTTCATCCGTCCTTCAGCTCAAACCCAGTGCGGCTGCCTGACTCGTAGTTGTGATGATTACACAATTCAGGGTTTGCTTACATGCAAATGTTATTTAAATGAGTGGAATCACATGTTCTGAAGTATTTATTTGTTTGCTCTTCAGGCCAGGGTGGTCACGCATATCTGAAAGAATGGCTATGGTGGGCCGGTTTACTATCAAGTAAGTGATGACAGTCTGTAGTTAAAATGTAAATCTCTACAATCTCAGTTTGCATGGATCTTAGTGATTTGCAGGTTAAATGATGTTTAGATGTTAAGATTTAAACTGAGGTAAAGTTGGCTGAAGATGTGTTTTTCTGACGTCTTTGAACAATTTAATTTGAAATGCTGTTAAACCAGTATATCTAGCGTAGATGTCTATAACCAGTTTCAACCAACACTTTTAACCTAGACTCCTTTTACGTCTTCTGACCTGCAAAACGTGGGAAGATAACATTGTACTTGCAACACACTTCAACCTCAGGCAGCATTTCAGTGTTTGCCCCTTTCTGCCTTCATTACAACATAATTATCCTTGTCATATTTGGTAGTTAACTTAATGCGTCTTAATCCTTTACAGTGGGAGCTGGTGAAGCAGCCAACTTCGCAGCATATGCCTTCGCTCCTGCGACTCTGGTCACCCCGCTGGGAGCCCTCAGCGTGCTTGTCAGGTACAGACGACTCGCTGCATGACTTTGACACTTACATGTTTGTCTTATATCTATAAATGGATGTGTGATGTCACTGTGGCTGACTGTAAATGTCATTGCAGCGCCGTGCTGTCGTCGTACTTCCTGACCGAGCGGTTAAACCTGCATGGGAAGCTCGGCTGCCTGCTCAGCATCCTGGGCTCCACCACCATGGTAATTCACGCTCCGCAAGAGGAAGAGATCAGCAGCCTCGAGCACATGGCCCACAAGCTGGTTGACCCAGGTACAGAACTAGCTTTAGGGATCCTGTCCAGAAATAGTTCTTTTACCAAGGGTGGGGCCTGTTCTACTGGATTTAAGACCGAGCACAACAACTTTGTTCGCATTGTATTTCTTCACTAATTCATTAATGTCAGCTCCAACTTAACACTCCCTTTTTCTCATAGGGTTTTTCATCTTTGCCACGCTTGTCATCATTGTCGCCCTCATCTTCATATTTGTTGTGGGTCCCCGCCATGGTCAGACCAACATCCTTGTCTACATTACCATCTGCTCAGTAATTGGGGCACTATCGGTGTCCTGTGTCAAAGGACTGGGTATTGCCATCAAGGAAGCAATTGCTGGGAAAAGCGTTGTGAGAAACCCACTGGCATGGATCTTGCTTTTGGGTCTCATTGCCTGTGTGAGCACACAGATCAACTACTTGAACAAGGCTCTGGACATATTCAACACATCCCTGGTGACCCCCATCTACTACGTGTTCTTCACCACATCCGTGCTCACCTGCTCTGCCATCCTCTTCAAGGAGTGGGGGCACATGGGCACGGACGACGTGATCGGCACCCTCAGTGGCTTCCTCACGATCATCGTGGGCATCTTCCTGCTCCATGCCTTCAAAGACGTCAGTGTTAGTTTGGCTACTCTCGCGGTGTCCATGAGGAAGGAGGAGCGGGCCTTTCCCGCAGCCAACGGTATGGGCTCCCACAGCACCTATGAACTGCTACATAATGAGTCCACTGAGGACATTGAGGGCAGAGAAATGGGCTTGCCTTTTGACAGCGTCTCCAGAAGAAATGGGGCGATGACTTCCTCATTGGATCATTAAGGAACTTTCTTTTCCTCAGCCCCCTACTGACTCACCAACCATGGCATTGTTATGGTATGACAACAGTAAGACAATCAGCTGTATGGGGAAAGTGACTCAGACAGACCAGTGGATTGTATTTAATGTTTTAATTTGCCTTACTTTTCTCAGAATATGACCTGGTCATATTCAGTTCCAGTTAGAACTTAATTTCATTCCTCTGTAGCGCTGTAAATATGAGTTTTTTTAAGAAATGTTTTGTTATATGTACATGCATACTCATGCACTGACTTACTTTCTATAAATCAAAAGGATAAAGGTTTTAATATATATTCTATATGAGCTCCTGCTGACAATTACTACAGTTAAAAGGACAGTCACTATGATTTGAGGGTTTTTTTTCGTGATACTTGAAAGTAGTAACAACTTTTGTTGGAATTAGTTCTGACCTTTTTTTGTAGCGTTTACATGAAAAGCTCTCGAGATGAACCAACAGATTTGTTACATATTTATTGAATTAAAATGATTAAAACAGTTGAAACACAAGGCACAGTGAATAAATGCTTAACATGAGTATGAGATTTGTTACTTTTCAATTTCCTTTAAAATGTTTAGCATGCATGTCCAACAATATAGAAAATACAAATTTACTTCCACCCCCACTTAAAATAGACTGCTGTTCACCCTCTAATATTCCACCACTGCAAACCCTTAAATACTTATCTGATAAAACTAATTTCCCTTCCCTGATCTATAGCTTTCTGTAAGTATAAAACAAAGAATAGTTCATCCAACAAGGGGAAATATCTATTCATTTCTGATAAGGCACAAGTGAAATACAAAAAAAAAAAAAAAAGTGGCCCAACTTCCTTACATTTAATGGTCCTTTGCTTCTAAAGACCTAAAGTAAATGAGGAATAGTTGTGGATAGTCTGGTAATGCTGACAGTGTTTGGAACTTCAGGCTGGTCCACAGTATCGACAGTGGCGACGGCAGCACCTCAGCTGCTGGCAAGTGACTGGTGTATCGGCGGTTGGAAGCATCGGACGTGTTCGACCGGCATGTTCTCTCCATCTCCAGACTTCAGGTACTTGTTCAGGATGGCAAAAATCTCGTTGTTGAGGACCTGGAATTTGCGGATTCTGTCGACCATCTTCTTCAGTGGCTAAAGGGAAGCAGAAAATATGAATACACTTAGTATGAGTATCTTGTGATTGAAGACGAATATTTTCCTGCTTAATATGCTCATTGAGTCATGTTTTGATAAAT